AAAAGACAAGAAAGGAAGAAAAGACCAAAATGGATGTCAGAAGAGACTGAAACTTGCTCTTGAATGGAGAGTAGCTAAAGCAAATGGAAGAAATGACAAGACAAAAGAGCTGAACAGAAGATTTCAAAGAGCAGCTTAAGAAGATAAAGTCAATTATTGTAATGAAATGCACAAAGACCTGGAGTTAGAAAAACAAAAGGGAAAACACAGTCAGCATTTCTCAAGCTGAAAGAAATGAAGAAAAATTCAAGCCTTGAGTTGCAGTATTGAAAGATTCTATGGGAAAATATTGAGGGATGTTGGAAACATCAAAAGAAGGTAGAAGGACTACACAGAATCACTGTATCAAAAAGAATTGGTTGATGTTCATGTATTTTGGGAGGTGGCATATGATCAAGGACCAATGGTACTAAAGGAAGAAATCAAAGATGCACTGAAGAAATTGGTGAAAAACAAGGCTCCAGGAATTGACAGAATACCCATTGAGATGTTTCAAGAAATGGATGTCATGCTGGAGGCACTTACTTGTCTATACCAACAAATTTGGAAGATGGCTACATAGCCAACTGAAAGAGATTCATATTTGTACCTAATCCAAAGAAAGGTGATCCAACAGAATGTGGAAATGATTGAACAATATTATTAAAATCACATGCAGGTGAAATCTTGCTGAAGATAATTCAAAAATGGCTGTAGCAGTATATTGATAGGGAATTTCCAGAAATGCAAGCTGGATTCAGAAGAGGACGTGGAATGAGGGATATCATTGCTGATGTCAGATGGATCTTGGCTGAAAGCATAGAATACCAGAAAGATGTTTACTTGTATTTTATTGACTATGCAAAAACATTCAACTGTGTGGATTGTAACAAATTATGGATAACATTGAGAAGAACAGGGATTCCAGAACACAGAATTGTACTCATGAGGAACCTGTACATAGACCAGGAGGCTGTCATTCAAACAGAACAGGGGAATACTTCATGGTTTAAAATCAGGAAGGAAGTGCATCAGGGTTGTATCCTTCCACCATACTTATTCAATCTGTATGCTGAGCAAATAATCTGAGAACCTGGACTATAGAAAGAAGAACATGGCATCAGGATTGGAGGAAGACTCGTTAACAACCTGTGATATGCAGGCAACACAACCTTGCTTGCTGAAAGTGAAGATGACTTGAAGCACTTACTGTTGAAGATTAAAGACCACAGTCTGCAGTATGGATTACATCTCAACATAAAGTAAATGAAAATCCTCACAGCTGAACCAGTAAGTGGCTTCATGATAAATGGAGAAGACTGAAGTTGTCAAAGATTTCATATTACTTCGTTCCACAATCAACACCAATGGAAACAGCTGTCAAGAAATCAGATGATATATTGTGCTGGGTAAATCTGCTGCAAAAGACCTCTTTAAAATGGTGAAGATCAAAGATGTCTCTTTGAAGACTAAGATGCCCCTAACCTAAGCCATGGTATTTTCAATCACCTCATATGCATGTGAAAGCTGGACAATGAATAAACAAAATTGATGAAAAGTTAATGCTTTTGAGTTGTGGTATTGATGCAGAATACTCAAAGTACCATGGACTACCAGAAGAACAAACAAATCTGTCCTGGAAGAAGTGCAATGGAATGCTCATTGGAAGTGAGAATAACCAGACTTCTTCTCACCTAGTTTGGTCATGTTGTCAGAAAGGACCATTCCCTGGAGAAGGATATCATGCTTGGTAAAGTGGAGGGTCAGTGAGGAAGGGGAATGCCCTCAATGACATGGATTGACACAGTGAATGCAACGATGAGTTTAGGCATAGCAAGGATTGTGAGGCTGGCGCAGAACTGGGCAGTGTTTTATTTTGTTGTACATAGGGTTGCTATGAGTTGGACCCAACTTGATGGCACCTAACAACAAACAACAACAACATAGCTATGAAGACCAATATCCTAGAGGATACGAAGTGAATTTAGCAAAAATATCAAGAGGATAATGCACTGTGACCAAGGTCACAGTCTAGGAATGCAAGCCTTTTAGCATAAGAAACATTATAACATCAATGTAAACTTGAAATCAACATATTAGTAGAGGAAAATGATGTGATTATTTCAATAAATGTAGAGTGAAAGTGCTTAGATAAATTTAATACCACAAATTCATAATAAGTTTTTAATAAAATTTAGCATCAATTCATGGTAAAGAACTTTTATCAAACTAGAAATAAAATAGTATTTCCTTAATTTGATAAAGAATAAGAATAGATGCATTTGAACTGTGTTGTTAGTGAACAGCCAGAAGAAAAACCAAATCATCCTTAGAAGAAATACAACCAGAATGCTCCTTAGACACAAGGGTGGCTGAAGTTCATTTTGCTTTCTTAGGACACATTATCAGAAAAGGGTAATTTCTCAAAAAAGACAGCAGGGTTGGTAGGGTAGAGGGTCATTGAAAAGAAGGGAAACTCTCAATGAGATGGATTGACACAGTAGATGTACCAATGGGCTCAAACGTATTACAGATCATAAAGATGGCGCAGTACAAGGCAATGTTTTATTCTGTTATACATAGGTCTCCATCAGTTGGAGTCAAGTCTATGGCAACTAACAACAAAAAAAACCTATAGAAAATGTAAGAAAGTTTGAACACTTGAACACCTTCCCTTTAAAATAGGAAGGATACAAGGATGCCCACTATCACCACTTCTAGCCACCATTGTACAGCACAGTAAAGAGATAAATGAAATAAAAAGTGTACAAGTTGGAAAAAATTAAAGTGTCATTCACTGATGATATGATTATGAATGCAAAATAGCCAAAAGATAAATTATTAGCAGTAGTAGGAGTTGAGAAAGATTGCCGCACACAAAATAGATATGCAAACACACTTCATTGTCTGCATACTAGCAAGAAGAAACTGGAAATTGCAGTTTTATAGAATGGCAATACTATCAGAAGTATCATGTTTCTATGTCTAATAAGAGATGTTCAAGACCTTCTTGAGGAATATTATTAAACATTTTTGAGAGCTAGTAAAGAAATGTAAATAAACAGTAAAAAAAAAAAAAAAAAAATCCATGAAAGATGCAAAGATGTTCATTCTCAATCAAAAGCCAAAGAAAAGATTTTTTTTGGGGGGGCGAATAGAGTTTGAAATTGGCATAGTGATTCCAAGGACCAAATATGGCCATTAAACAAATTCTTGAAGAAAAACAAAGTGAGAGCACTTGCTCTGCTAGATGCCAAGACTTTCAAAACTACAGTAATCAAGACAGCTGGGTTTCAGTGCAGGGACCGATAAGCCGACTAAAGGAACAGAATGGTGAGCTCTGATACAGACCTTAGTATAACTGGATTCCACCCTCCCTACTTTTATTATTATTATTTTTAACCATGATACCTGTGAAAGGAGTGCAGAAAGGAAGGTCTTTTCATAGACAGTAATTGGCTTATTTAACCATATGCAAAAAAAAAAAAAACAGATAAAATGGAACTATAACCTCACACTGCAGACAAAAATGAACTTATGAGTGGCTTTGTCCTTCATGTGTAAGGTAAAGTACAGCTCTTAGGAAACATAGGTTATTTAATGACCTGTGGTTAAGGAAAGATTTCTTTATTATTATTATTTATTTATTTTTATTGTGATTTGGGTGAAAGTTTACAGAGCAAATTCACTTTCCATACAGCAGTTCACATATACTTTGTCTCATGACATTGACTACAATTTACCCCAATGCAACAGACCCCTCCCACTTCCTCCCAATAGTTACCTCTTCCCTATGTCCATCCCTCCATGCTCTCCTGCCCCCTGAACTGTCTCCCTGTGGATAAACAGCCCCTCTTTCTCCCATGATTGTTCTCTCCAAGGAGTGTATCTATCTCAGGTAAATGTTCAACTCATATGCCTGTTTTTTGTTTGGCTTGGAAGCCACAGGTGTGGGTTCAATTCCAAACCTGAAGGGCAGCTAAGGGCCATAGTCTCAGGGGTTCCACCAGGCTCTATCAGACCAGCAAACTTGGTCCCTTATTTTTTTCCCAAATGATTTTGAGTTTTGTTCCATATTGTTCTCCCTCTCTATCCAGGATCTCCTACATAGATTCCCGTCCAGGTGGTTGACAGTGGTAGCCGGGCACCATCTAGTTCTTCTGGTGTCATAGTCATATAGGCTGCAGATTGCATGGTGTACCAGTCACTAGGACCAATTGCTTTTATGAGTCTTTGGTTTTCTTCATTCTTATTTGCTCTGGATGAGGAAAGACCCATCATTGCATCTAGATGGCTGCTTGCAAGCCAAAGAAAGATTTCTTAAGCAGATTTCTTAAGAGAACAAAAAATGCATCAACCCAAAAACCAGAAGGGATATATTTGTCTACTAAATATATCATATATATACATTGACTACGTAAAGAATTTTCATTCATCAGAAGACCTCATAAAGAGTGACAGGGCAAGCAATGCAGGGGGACAAGATGTTTGTGGCATATGTAACTGTCAGTGTTCTAGCCTTGAAATATATAAAGATCTCTAAGAAATGAACATAAAAAAGAAAGACAATGATGTTGAAAACTAGGTAAAGATTTCAGGTACATTACAGGAGAGGAAACAGAAATGGCCAATAAACATGGCAAGGAGCTCCATGTAATAGTCATCACAACAACACAAATAAAAGCCTTGGGTTGGTAGAACCTCATGCCCAATAGATAGCCAGGAGTTAGCATAGCTTATGTACTAAGAGTAGGGTCAACTGTGGAGCACCTGGAACTCCCCTGCACTGCTGGTGGGAATGTTCTTGGCGCTGTATTTTGGAAAAGCCTGTGGCATTATCTGGTCAGGTAGAAGTTGTGCAGGCATCTCAACCCCACAGTCTTCTCCTAGAGAAATTGTGCACAGAGAAGTCTCAGGAAGTGTCCCACCAGGAAACACCTCCCCATGCCATCAGTAGCAGGAAGTATAAATGCACTGCTGTGAGTTGTTGCTCAGAAAGGTCTGGGGCCACTCTGGGTCTAGGCTCCCTTAGAGTAGCTTCTGGATCTCCTGTTTGCTCAGTGCTATCTTCCTGAATTAAATGGCATCTCTGACTGCATGTCCCTTCTTATCCTCAGAGCCTGTAGTGGTATTTGCCAAGGAGCAACCAGTACAGAGTGAGGTACGAGCTGAGGCGGGAGCCAGCGCCACACTGAGTTGTGAGGTAGCCCAGGCCAAGACGGAGGTGGCATGGTACAAGGATGGGAAGAAGCTGAGTGCAAGCTCAAGGGTGCGCGTGGAGGCCACAGGCCGTGGACGGCGGCTGGTGGTGCAGCAGGCGGGCAAGGCGGATGCTGGGGAGTACAGCTGTGAGGCCGGGGGCCAGAAGGTCTCCTTCCGCCTGGATGTTACAGGTGGGTTCCTGAGATCTCTGTTTCTTCCTGAGGCACATGACCAGGCAATGGTTTGGGAGGTGCTCTTCAAGGCCTGTTTTCTCACAATGCTCTTCACATCATAACCTTTGACATAACCAGCTGCAGCCCCAGCACTGTTCACCAATGTACTCTTTCTCTCCAGCAAGCTCCTTATGGGGGGGATGCCGGGATATTGCTCTTGCATCTGCATCAATCCAGTCCTTTCACCATTCCTGGCCTCAGGGCCTGTGCTCCTACCCAGACTTTTTCTGGACTTGAGTTTCTCCTTCCTATACCTCCTCCTCCAGAAAGTTCAGATCTAGTCTTATCTCTCTGTGTCCTCAGTTACCACTCTTCTCTCTTGGTTGAGTCCACTTTTACTCTAGCTACTTGAGTTATCGTGCTCATGTGCAGATGGGTCTGGCCTTCCCCTGCTGGAACCCCCCATGGTCACCCTGCACTTGGGATTCAACCAAGGCCTTGATTGTCCCTGAGGCTCTGCTGTGACCTGGCCTGCCCATATCTCCCTCTTGTCTATAACATTCCAGCCAAACTAGCTCATTTATTTTTGTTTATCATAGCCTCTAATATCTTTGTGATTTTATTTTTAACATTTTTTTTATTTTGAAGTAATAGTAGATTTAGAGGAAGTTGCAAAGATAGTACAAAGAGGTCCTAATGCCCTTCACCCAGTTTCTCTCAATGTTCATATCTTCTATAACTATAGTACCATATCAAAAGCAGGACCCTGAGAGTGTATGATGGGAATGTAGAGTTCTATGTCACCTGCCACATGTGTAGATTTGTGCAGGTGCTTCCTTACATGAGATACAGGACATTGTATCACCACAAAGATCTGCCTTGTGATGTCCCTCATACTGACACCTGTCCTCTCCTCAACACCATCACTAACTCTTGGCAACCAGCAATCTGCTCTTTGAGTTGGTAATTAGTCATTTTGAGAATGTTATATAAATGAAACCATGCAGTGTGTAACCTCTGTCTACTGTTTTTTTTCACTCAGCATGATTTTATTGAATCCATGTAGGTTGTTGCACATATAACTAGTTTGTTCCTTTGTATTGCCGAGTTATTTTCTAGGATATGGATGCACCACAGTTTGTTAAAGCATCCACCTGTTAAAGAATATGTGGGTTGCTTCCAGTTTTGGTTACTGTGAATCAACTGCTATGAACAATCATGTACAAGTTTTTGCACCAAAAACACCAAAAACCAAACTCACTGCTGCCGAGTCAGATCTGACTCATAGCTACTCCTCCTTGGGTTTCCAGGCGATATCACTGCAGAAGTAGATTGCTCAATCTTCCTTCCAAGGAGTGGACGGTTGGTTTGATCCCCCAGCTTTCTGCTTAGCAGTCAGATGTCTTAGGCACTATGCCACCAGAGCATTTTTATTTCTCTGGGATAAATGCCCAGAAGTGTGTTTGTTGGGTCATAGGTATTTTCATGTTTAGTTTTGTAATAAAGTGCTATACTCTTCCAGAGTGGCTTTGCCATGCTACATCCCATAGCAACGAATCTTTGATACTTAATGTGGAATTTAGTATTGCCACTAATTTTTCATTTTAGCTCTTCTAGTGAGTATGTAGGGATATCTCATTGGGGTTCAGTTTATATTTTCCTAACAGCTAATGATGTTGAACCTCTTTAAAGTAATATGTTTCCATCTGTATATCCTCTTTGGTGAAAAGTCTCTTCATTTTTTTAGATTGTTTTCTACTTGGACTTTTTTTTTTTTTTTTCCTAGAACTGTTGTGTTTTGTGAGTTCTTTATATAGTCTAGATATGAATCTTTTATCATGTATGCTGTTTGCAGATACTTTCTCCCAGTCTACAGCTCATCTTTGATTCCCTTAACAGGGTCATCTAAGAAGTTTTTACTCAGTCCTTTATTCCAAAGATTTTCCTCCATGTTTCTTATAAAAGTTTCATAGTTTCACATTTACTTTGAAATCTATGATCAAATGTAAGACAATTTTTGTATAAGGTGTGAGGTTTAGGGGAAGGTTTGTCATATTCCTGTTTCTTTTTGATTTTTAAATTCTTTTTTTAAAGCCCTTTATTGAACTACAATAACCATGAAGATCATACTGTGTTTTAAATATCAGTTGCATCTTTAGTATTGTCCCTTCCTTCATTCCTAACATTGGTAAATTTGTGCTTTCTCTCCCTCTGTCTGTGTTCTTTTTCTTTGAAGATTCAAACTAGATGTATGTCATTCATTGCAATTTCATTATCCTTTCCTTACAACCAATATTTAGGAACCCTGGTGGCATAGTGCCTTGACTGCTAACCAGAAGGCTGGCGGTTCAGATCCACCAGCCACTCCTCGGAATGAAGGTTGGGTAATCTACTTCTGTAGTGATACTACCTCAGAAACCCAAGGAGGGGTTGCTATGAGTCGGGTCTGACTCGCCAGCAATGAGTAGAACTAATATTTGCTTCCACTGATTTTTTTCTTTGCCTCCCTCCTTTTTTTCCTACTCTGTCTCTTCCCTTCTTCTCTATCTTTGCCTTTCAGTCCTTTTTTTCCCCTCTCTCTGGTTTAATCTGGATGCTATGAACCTCTCTTTGAGCTCCCTAATTGCGTGTTCCTCTGCATCTCATCTGGTGTCCATCCCATTGATAGTGTAATTATTTCAGTTACTGTATTTTTTGAGATTGAGAACTTCCACTTGATTGCTTTGTTCTCTTTTTCTTTCTTTTAAGAAAGCAATATTACATTTTTTGGTGAAAATATGAACAGCAAGACATGCACCAATTCCACAATTTCTACATGTATAATTCAGTGATATTGACTACATTCATTGTTGATGCTGTGCATCCGTTCTTTTTTTTTTTCCTCATTTTTATGATGATTTGGGTGAAAGTTTACAGAGCAAATTCATTTTCCATACAGCAGTTCATACATATTTTGTCTTATGACATTGTCTGTGATTCCCCACAATGTAACAGCTCTCTTCCCACTTCCTCCCCATAGTTACCTCTTCCTTATATCCGTCCCTCCCATGCACTCCTGTCCCCCCAGATGTCTCCCTGTGCAAACACTGCCCTTCTGTTCCCCCATGATTGATCGCCCCAAGTAGTAAATGTACATGTTTACCCTATATGCCTATTATTTGGCTAGAAGCCACAGAAGTGAGTCTAAGTCCAGACCTGAATGTAGCTAGGGGCCGTAGTCTCACGAGTCTCATCAGGCTCTATCAGACCAGCAAACTTGGTCTTGTTTTGTTTTGAATGATTTTGAGCTTTGTTCCAATTGTTGTACCACTCTATCCATCTAGATCTTCTGGTCTTAGGGTCGTATAGGCTGAGGATCACAATGTGTACCAGTCCCTTGGACTAATCATTTCTATGGGTCTTTGGTTTTCTTCATTCTTTTTTGCTCTGGGTGAGGAGAGACCCATTGTTGCATCTAAATGGCCACTTGCAAGCTTTTAAGATCCCAGTTGCTACTCATCAAAGTAGGATGTAGAACAATGTTTTTGTGTAGTATGTTACGCCATTTAAGCTTGATGTCCCCTGTGACCATGGTCCCAAGCCCACAAGTCCTACTACTCACTCCTTCTAGGTAGTTGGCTGTGTGCATCCATTCTTTTTCTTTTTGTGTGTGATTTGGGTGAAGGTTTACAGAGCAAATTCTCTTTCCATACAGCGGTTCACATATACTTTGTCTCATGACATTGACCACAGTTTACCACAATGCAACAGCTCCCCTCCCATTTCCTCCCCTTGATTACCTCTTCCCTGTGTCCATCCCTCCATGGACTCCTGCCCCCTGAGCTGTCTCCCTGTGCATAAGCCGCCCTTCTTTCTCCCATAATTGTTCTCTCCAAAGAGTGTATCTACTTGAGGTAAATGTTCAACTCATATGCCTGTCTTTTGTTTGGCTGGAAACCACAGGTGTGAGTTCAATTCCAGATCTGAAGGGCAGCTAGGGGCCATAGTCTCAGTGGTTGCACCAGGCTCTATCGGACCAGCAAACCTGTCCCCCCCCACCTTTTTTGTTCTCCAAATGATTTTGAGTTTTGTTTCATATTGTTCTCCCTCTCTATCAAAGATCTCCCACATAGTTCTCCTTCCAAGTGGATGACAGTGGTAGCCCGGCACCATCTAGTTCTTCTGGTCTCATAGTCATATAGGCTGCAGATTGGATGGTGTACCAGTCGCTAGGACTAATTGTTAAATTAAAACCAAAAGTGAAATTTTGGTTTTCTTCATTCTTCTTTGCTCTGGATGAGGAGACACCCATCGTTACATCTAGATGTGCATCCATTCTTATTAAGCTTTTCTAAATTATTCTAGTGTCATTGAAAAAAAAGAGCAGCTGCTGATGTTGCTTATATACAACTGAATACCTCATTTTGGAGGTTTAAGGTCATGGTTTCATGGGATATCCCAGTCAATTGGCCTAAAATTGTTCTTACTGTTTCTGTTCTACCTCCTAATTCCTTCCACAGTGCCTATGGTCTTAAAAGCTTGCAAGACGCCATCTAAGGTACAACAATTGGTCTCTATTTGCCTTCAGCAGTAGAGAAAGAAGGAGAGTCAGGAATTGAAGGAGGAATTGAAATGTGTGACTAATTACCTCCATGAACAACTGGCTCCTATGGGTTGTGATGGGCTACCACTACTCAACATTTGATTAACGATTCTACAGAAGAATCCTGATCAAAAGGATGAAAATGTGGAACAGAACTTCATGTTTTCAAGGAATCCAGGCTCTGGAGTCATAGGGACTGGATGAACCCCCTCAAAACTACTGCCTTGAGATAATATTTAAACCTTAAATCAAAAGTATCCCTTAAAGTTTTCTTTAAACCAAAAACATTCTCACATAATTAGTAAAAAATGTATCTCTTGAGAATTGTGCTCTTTCAAAGAATTATCTATATGTGATCAAATTGACAACAGCAACTCAAAAGGCTATATGTACAGCTTAGAGTGCAGTGAGTTTATGTCAATGACACTAGAATAATTTAGAAAAGCTTAATATCATCATAAATATATGCATACACAATATTTGGCAGTTCAGTATTTTCCAAGCATACAGTTTTATTGATATCCATTACATTAATCATGTTGTGCAAACATTACCCTTAATTGATGTCAAATTTCCCATCACCATAAACAGAAACTCACTGCTTCCCAAAAAATGGTACCCTGACTAATTTTTTAATAGTGCCTAATTCTCTAATGAATTCTTTATCTTTGATCTGTTGTCTAATAATCTAATACTGGGTCACTGATATTTTCTTTCTTTCATCTTTGCATGCCTGCAGACTTTCAACTGGCTGTCAGACATTGCATGTTAAACGCTTTTGAGTATGGGTGATGTGGTCTTACTCCAGAGAGAACTTCCTCTTACTTTTTTTATTCCTTTCAAATTTTTATCATAATTAGGGTGAAAGTTTACAGAGCAAATTAATTTTCCATACAACACTTCATAGACATTTTGTCTCAGGATATCAACTGCAATTTCGCACAATGTAACAGCTCTCTTCCCACTTCCTCCCTCATCCTTTTGCTAGACAGATACAGGAGGACTGGGGACCTCAATCCATTTTGGGACTGAGCTGACTGTGGAATTCACTGCAGTTTTGATAAGGGTCATGTATCTCTGGTTCACCTCTGATCCTGGGCAAAGATGCTGAAAATTCCTCTCTGCTTTCTGGAAGTTTTCAGCTTGGCTTCTAAGCCCCGTGTTTTGTGCAGTTTTAACAGCTGAGTGTTTAACCACTGCATCAAGGCTCCTCTGTGCAGTTTTAGAACTCATCAGATTTCTCGAGGGGAAACAAGAAGATATGGGACTCAGTTCTTCACTGTTCCGTCTCACTCTGTACTTGGGCCTCAAGGATTTAATTTTATAATGTTATGTATTGGTAAGGATGTAGAGCATCTGGAAGTCTCACATGCTACTGGTGGGACTTTAAGTCACTATAACGACTTTTGAAAACTGTTTGGCAATATCTGCTAAAGCTAAACATAGGCCTCACTGTGTGCCAACAGTTATACACATGCCCACCAAAAACTTGTTCAAGAAGCTCATAGATGCTTTACTGATAGCATGACCAAATTGGAAGCAATCCAGTGACCCTCAGTGGGAAAGGAAAACTAAATTGTGACATATTCATGCAGTAGCATTCTATACAACAACAGAAAGTGAATGACAGCTACATCCAATTACATGGGTAAATCTTATAGACATTACATTTAGTAAAAGAAACAAGATACAAAAATATTTAATGTATAATTCAATTTCTGTGAAATTAAAAATAAACAACAGTAATTTATGGTGAGAGAAGTCAGGATAGGAGTCAGTAGTGACTTTTGGAGGGGTCAGTAGTGACTTTACCAAAAACTCATTGCCATTGAGCCAATTCTGACTCAGCTACCCTCATTGAGTTTCCAAGGTTGTAAATCTTTATGGAAGCAGACTACCTCGTTTTTCTTCCATGGAGTGGCTAGTGGGTTTGAACTACTGACCTTTTTGTAAATAGCCAAATGCTTTAACCACTATACCACCAGAGCTCCTTTCAGTGGTGACTTGGGGAGTAGAAATGGTTTATATTTGATATGTATGATGATTACTTGGGGTATGTATGCATAAATATCACTGAGCTATAAAACCATAACTAGCACTTTGTTACATGTCAGTTGTGCCTTTTTAAATAAGTAGAGTAACTTTGAGGAGGAAATACCACGTGCCACACATAGGGATACATTCATGAACAAGACTGCGATACCTACCCAGTGCTGAGTCTTATGTGGGAAAGACAATAAATTACCAGTTATAGAGTCTGGAACAGCCTCGGACACCTTCCTTCCACGTAAAGAATTGCTCTTGAGAGAGGCCATGCCCGAACTGTATACTTGCTGCTTTGTGATAGGTATCCTGTGCTTGTGAACTCAAGTCTAATAGCCCACAGGACACATGCTGTCACGGGTCAATGGGAAATTTATTAAACTCTTATGCTTTGGTGTCTGGGAAGTGGATCCATACCAGGTTTGTGTCATGTCTCTGACTATGTGTCCTTCCCTGTCCCCAGAGCCCATGGTGGTGTTTGCTAAGGAGCAGCCAGCACAGAGTGAGGTGCAGGCCGAGGCAGGGACCAGTGCCATGCTGAGCTGTGAGGTGGCCCAGGCCCACACGGAAGTTGCATGGTACAAGGATCAGAAGAAGCTGAGTGCAAGCCAGAAGATGCGCATGGAGGCCACAGGCTGTGGGCGGTGGCTCGTTGTGCAGCAGGCGAGCAAGGCAGATGCTGGGGAGTACACCTGTGAGGCCGGAGGCCAGAAGGTTTCCTTCCGCCTGAATGTCACAGGTGGGTGACCATTAGCTTTGGTTGAGGAAGGTGGTTGGACTGACGTATCGCCTGGATGGACCCTGGGGTCCTCTATCCTTCAACTTCATGTCTTCTTGTCTCCCATTCTCTCACCATCTCGTATTCCTGCCTGTGGGTGGGAGGAAAAGAGACTTTTTGGAAGGTTGTGTACTAAAGGTAGAAGGGCTGTTCTTCTTTCCTCAGGTGGTGTTTCCAGGCAAGAGTGGTTAGTTACATGTTCCCAGAGCCTGTCCAGAATCCTTCTTGTCTTCTTTGGTTTCCAGGACTCTGGAGTGTCTGGTGCTTTGGGTCTGAGGTGGACCAGGTATCTCTCACCTGGGATAGGTGAATGTCCTCCAGTTGGAAGGTCTGGCAGCTTGCACATGCCCTCACCAGGCACCATATAGGGCTTCTCATTAGCAAGAGGTGTTTGAATCCCATTAAGGCAGAGGAGGGGAGACTTTAGCCACCCAGTCATACTGGCATTATCTCAAGGCTGATCTTTGCATGATCACATTTTGGTGCTCTGGCCACTGTTGCTTTCCTTTGATGTGGATGTGGAAGCCCTCTGTGCATACATGCACACAATCTAGATCCACATGTTGTTTTAAGTTCTGTGCAAAGTAAATGAAGAGTGGTGGATTGATAGCATACCCCTGTGATACTTGGGGTTTTCTTCTAAAGCAAATCTTGTTTTCCCTATGTCTTCAGTTAGAACTCCATGTGAAATTTCCCTTGGAATTTGTCATATGTCTTTAGGAATGGAAAGGAATAAGTGGCTTCTGTCCTGTCAGTTTGCCTTGTTAATGATGAGTTACTTCAGTAGCATTCCCTGACTGGCAACGAAAGCAAAGCAAAACCATTGCCATCGAGTTGATGCCAACTCATAGTGACCCTATGACTCTGTCATAGGACAGAGTAGAACAGCTCAATAGTGTTTCTAAGGATGTAAATCTTCATAGGCGCAGAGTGCCTCATCTTTCTCCAATGGAGAAGCTGGTGGGTTTAAACTGTTGACCTTTTGGTTGGCAGCTGAATGGCTTAACCACTATGCCACCCGAGCTCCTCTGACTGGTAAAATAGTATTTATTTCATTGCAGTCCCTTAATGATCAGTGTGTGACTGTACTTCTGTACCTGGTTCATAGAGAACTCTGAGAATGAATTTTATTTTCCTTTTTTTGAGTCTTGACCTCAAATTGGGCCTGCCTTCCCACACTTGACCAGTAGGTATCATGCCATAACACGTTCATATGGTATCAGTATATAGTAATGACTGTGAGTCTAGACCAAATGTCCTGATGGAAATCTCTTGAACATTATTATAACAGAACATTACAGATTATTTTATGCAAATGATTTTGTTATGTTTGGGTAGATTGTCCATTTCCTTGAAAACTTTTGACTTGAGAAGAAATCGCAAACCAAGAAGTCCTGTAACCATTTACCTATAACCATTGAAACAATGGAGCCAGTAGTTAAAAATCTTTTCACAGAGCAAAATATAAGCACATATGTACTCTTCTGGAAAGAAATTATTCCAAGTTTATGGAGAATCTTACAGAGAATACAAAAAAGATACACATTTTCCACTCATTTTATGTAGCTAGCATGATGTACCTCGCAATGCCGTGGAGTCAGAGCTGACTCATAGTGACCCCTTCTTGGACTTCTGAGGCAGTATCACTACAGAAGTTAATTACCCAACCTTCCTTCCGAGGAGTGGCTGGTGGGTTTGAACTGCCAGTCTTCTGGTTAGCAGTCAAATGCCTTAGGCACTACGCCACGAGAGTTCCTGCTAGCATAACAGTAATACCAAAATATGGCAAGGAAAATATGAAGAGTTAAAATCCCTTATGATATGAAAGCCAATATTCTAAAGAAGTTTTTGGCAGTTTACTCAGCAATATATCGAGAGGATAATGATCTATGACCAAGGTCACAGTCTAGGAATGCAAGTTTGTTTTAGTATAAAAGACATTATAAGATCAATGTAAATTATGAAATTAGCATATTGATAGAGAAAAACAGTGTTATTTTCCCAATAAATGCCAAATAAAAGTGCTTGGATAAGATATAATATCATAAATCCAGAATAAATGTTTGATAAAATTTAGCACCAATTTATAGTAAAGAACTTTCATCAAACTATAAATAAAAGGGAATTTCCTTAATATGATAAAGAAGAATTAGTGCATTTAAATTGTGCTGTTAGGGAACAGCCAGAAGAAAAAGCAAATCTTCTTTAGAAGAAATACAACCAGAATGCTCCTTAGACAAAAGGATGGCTAAAGTTCATTTTGCTTTCTTAGAATGCATCATCAGGAAAGGGGAATTTCTCAAAAAAAGACATCAGGTTGGGTAGGGCAGAAGGTCAGTGAAAACAAGGAAAACAGTGAGATGGGATTGACACAGTGGCCATACCAATGGGCTCAAATATATTAAAAACCATAAAGATAGTGCAATACAAGGCAATGTTTTATTCTGTTATACATAGGTCACCATAAGTAGGAGCCAACTCAATGGCAACTAACAACAAAAAACTGTAGAAAATGTAAAAAAATTTGTATTTGAACACTTTCCCTTTAAAATTGAAAAGTACAAGGATGCCCACTATCACTACTTTTATCCATTGTATCCAGTAGTACACTTCTGTACATTGTACAACCAGTAAAGAGATAAATAAAAAGTGTACAAGTTGGAAAAAATTAAAGTGTCATTCACTGATGATATGATTAAATACAAAATAGCCAAAAGATAAATTATTAACAATAGTAGAAGTTTAGAAAGATTACCACACACAAAATAGATATGCAAACACACTTCATCGTCTGTATACTAGCAAGAAGCAACTGGAAATTAATATTTTAAAGAATGGGAATTCCATCAGAAGTATCATATTTCTAAGTCTAATAAGAGACTTCTTGAGGAACATTATTAAGCACTTCTGAGAGTTAGTAAAGAAGATGTAAATAAGCATTTAAAAAAAAGGAAGATGCAAAAATGTTCATTCTCAATCAAATCTAAACAAAAGATTTTGGCTTTTTTTGTGGGGGGCGGATAGAGTTTGAAATTGTCATACTGATTCCAAAGACCAAGTACGGCCATCAAACAAATTCATGAAGAAGAACAAAGTGAGAATGTTTGCTCTGCCAGTTGCCAAGACTTAACAAATCTACAGTAATCAAAAAAGTAGGGTCTCAGTGCAGGGACAGATAGGCCGATCAAAGGAACACAATGGTGAACTCTGATACAGACCTTAGTATAACTGGATTTCACCTTCCTTATTTATTTGTTTTAACTGTGATGCCTGTAAAAGGAGTATAGAAAGGAAGGTCTTTTCATAGATGGTGGTTGGCTCATTAAATCATATGCCAAATAAGTAAATAAATAAATAAAACTGAACCATTACCATACATTGCAGACAAAATGAACTTATGAGTGGCTTTGTCCTCAATGTTTAAGATAAAGTAAAGTTCTTAGGAAATAAAGATTATTTAATGAGCTGTGGGTAAGGAAAGATGTCTTAAGAGGACAAAAATGTATCAGCCCAAAAAAACTTAATGGATTTATTTGTCTAGTATTTATATTATATATATGCATTGACTACTAAGAGCTTTCAGTCATCAGAAGACATCATAAAGAGTGAAATGGCAAGCAATGCAGGTGGACAAGGTGTATAGCATATATAACTGTCAGTGTCCCAGCCTTGAAATATATAAAGATTGCTAAGAAATGAATATAAAAAAAAAAAAGACAGAGAGTGATATTGAAAACTGGGTAAAGACTTCAACAGTGACACCACAGTAGAGGAAACGGAAATGGTCAATAAACATGGAAAAGGATCTCCCCTGTTATAGTCATCATGACAACACAAATGAAAGCCCTGGGTCTGTAGAGCCACAAGCCCAGCCAGTGGTCAGGAGGTAGCAATCCTTACAAACCAAGAGTAGGGTCAACACTGGAGCACCAGGACTCCCCTGCACTGCTGGTGGGAATGTTCCTGGCGCTGCATTTTGGAAAAGCCTGTGGTGTTATCTGGTCAGGTAGAAGTTATACAGATTCCAAGTCTTCTAGAGAAATTGTACACAGGAGCAGTCTCAGAAAGTGTCTCACCTGGAAATACTACCCTATGCCATCAGTAGCGCAAAAACGCAATGCACCACGGGACCCCCGACTCATAGTGACCCCTCCTTGAGCTTCCAAGGTGGTATCACTACAGCAGTAGATTGCCCAATTTTCCTTCTAAGGAGTGGCTGGTTGGTTTGAACCCCCAGCCTTCTGATTAGCTGTCAAATGCCTTAGGCACTACACCACTAGAGCCTTCAGTAGCAGGAGGTATAAATGCACTGCTGTGAGTTGTTGCTCAGAAAGGCCTGGGGCCTCTCCAGGTCACAGAGCTAGAGGGGGAGCCTGGGGTAGCTTCTGGATATCTTGTTTGCTCAGTGCTGTCTTCCTGACTTAAATGGCATCTCTGACTGCATGTCCCTCCTTGTCCTCAGAGCCTGTGGTGGTGTTTGCCAAGGAGCAACCAGCACGGAATGAGGTGCGGGCTGAGGCGGGAGCCAGTGCCACACTGAGCTGTGAGGTGGCCCAGGCCCACACGGAGGTGGCATGGTACAAGGATGGGAAGAAGCTGAGTGCGAGCTCAAGGGTGCGCGTGGAAGCTACAGGCCGTGGACGGCGGCTGGTGGTGCAGCAGGCGGGCAAGGCGGATGCTGGGGAGTACAGCTGTGAGGCCGGGGGCCAGAAGGTCTCCTTCCGCCTGGATGTTACAGGTGGGTTCCTGTGATCTCTGTTTTTTTCCTGAGGCACATGACGAGGCAATGGTTTGGGAGATGCCCTTCAAGGCCTGTTTTCTCACAATGCTCTTCACATCCCAACCTTTGACATATCCAGTTGCAGCCACAGCACACTCTTCTCTCCAGAAAGCTCCTTATGGGGGAGAGGGGGATCCCTGGATAATGCTCTTGCATCTGCATCAGTCCTGTCCCTTCACTAGTCCTGGCCTCAGGGCCTCTGCTCCTATCCAGACTTATCCTGGACTTGGGTTCCTTCTTCTTGTACTTCCTCTTCCAGAACAACTAGAATCTAGTCTTATCTTTCTGTGTCACTACTCTGCCTGTTGGTTGAGTCCACTTCTGTAGCTACCTGAGTGTTCATGCTCATGTAAAGATGGGTCTGGTCTTTCCCTGCTGGAATCCCGCATGGCTTCCCTGTACTTGAGTTTCAATCAAAGGCCCTGCTTATCCCTGAGGCCCTGCTGTGACGTGGCCTAGCCACATCTCCCTCTTGTCTACAACATTCCAGCCAAACTTGCTCATTAATTTTTGTCCATCAAAGCCTCCTATTGTCTTTGTGATTTATTTTAAAAACTTACTGTTTTATTTATTTTTTATTGTGCTTTGGGTGCAAATTTACAGAGCAAAGTTTGTTTTTTATTAGGCAGTTTGTGTACATTTGATTCCATGCCCTGATTACCATCCCCGACCATAATGCATGCTCCTCTCCTCCCATCCCGGTGACCACCCCTTCCCTGTGCCCTTCTTAACTGTCTGTCCTTCCTGTCTGTCCAGTTTTCCCTCCATGTGAATGCTGCCCCTCTGGTGGCCCAGGGCCGATTGCTCTAAGGGGTGTTTTCCCTAGAGTAGGTGGATGCATTGCCTTGGGGTGGGTGTTCTGCATGTGAGTCTTTCTACTGTTGGGCTGACAGCCAATTCTTTTTTTTTTTTTTTTTTAGGATTTGGGTGAAGATTTACAGAGCAAATTCACTTTTCATACAGCAGTTCACATATACTTTGTCTCATGTCATTGACCAAAATTTACAATGCAGCAGCTCCCCTCCCACTTCCTCCCCATTGTTACCTCCTTCCAGTATCCATTCCTTCATACTCTTCTGCACCCTGAGCTATCTATCTCCCTGTGCATAAGCAGCCCTTCCTTCTCCCATGATTGTTCTCTCCAGGGCGTGTGTCTACTTGAGGTAAATGTTTAACTCACATGCCTGTACTTTGTTTGGCTGGAAACCACAGTTGTGGGTTCAATTCCAGACCTGAAGGGCAGCTAGGGGCCATAGTCTCAGTGGTTACACCAGGCTCTATTGGACCAGCAAACCTGGTCCCCACCTTTTTTTTTTTTTTTGACAGCCAATTCTTGGGAGTGAGTCCAATCCTAGGCCCAATAGGTATCCCGAGGCCATAGTCTTCGGAGCTCTACCAGACCCTATCCAACCAGTAATACTGGTCATTTTTGTGCCTTTGAATTTTGTTCCACATTTTTCCTCTCACTTTATCCAGTGTCTCCAGTTTTGATCCCTTTCCAAGTGGTTGGCATTGGTACCCGGGCAACATCTAGTTCTTCTAGTCTCAAGGTCCATCGTCTTCTTGGGCTAATTGTTTCCGAATGGCTTTGATTTTCTTCACTCTTCTTTGCTTCAGATGAGAGGAGACCAATAGTTGCATCTTAGATGGCTGCTCGAAAGCTATTAAGACCCCAATCACTACTTGCCAAAGTAGGTTGTTGTTCTGGTTACCTAGTGCTGCTCTGACAAGAATATACCACAAATGGGATGGTCTTAACAAATAGGAGTTTATTCTCTTACGGTTTGTTAGGCTAGAATTCCAAGTTCAAAGTGCCATGCTCTAGAGGCTGGGTGAAAGCCCCTCAGCGTTGGGCTTCAGCTCTGCCTCCAGCTCCTGGCCTACTGAAGCTAGAGGCTTTTCTTCACTCAGACAGCTGCTGGCTGCTAAGGCTGCCAAGCCCGAGGTTGACGAGTAAAAAGGCACAGTCCCAATATTACCAAATCACACAGCAGGCCATTAATTCAAGTCCATTGTAAGTCCCAAGGTCAGCAGAGAATGACAGGCTGCTGAACAATGACACAGCTACACGCAGCATTCAATGTGCCATAAACTAGAGACCATTCCCAAAACTGCTTCTCATATACGGGAAGCAGACTACATACCCAAAGCAGCTACCCAGCTGCTTGTGGTAGATCTCACCATGGAGTTGATTGCCAGTCTTATCATGGGGAATAACTACCACCAGCTGCCCAGCCACTCAACCAGGCCCAGCCAAGTTGACACAAAAACATAACCACCACAGTTGTGGAACAAGATTTTTATGTACTATGTTGTGCCAGTTGAGCTTGGTGTCCCCCAGTACAAAAACTTTTTATTTTGAAATAATAATAGATTTAGAGGGAATTGCAAAGATAGTACAGAGAGATCATAATGCTCTTCACCCAGTTTCTCTCAATGTTCACGTCTTCCGTAACTAGTACCATATCAAAAGCAGGACCCTGAGAGTGAATGATGGGGATATAGAGTTCTATGTCACCTACCATATGTGTAGATTTGTGCAGGTGCCACCTCATGTGAGATACATGACATTCCATCACCACAAAGATCTGCTTTGTGGTACCCTCATACTCCCACCTGCCCTCTCCTCAACACCATCACTAACTCCTGGCAACCAGCAATCTGCTCTCCAACTCAGTAATTAGTAATTTTGAGAATGTAATATAAATGAAACCATGTAGTGTGCAACTTCTACCTACTGGCTTTTTACATTCAGCATGATTCTGTTGAATCCATCTAGGTTGTTGCACGTTATCACTACTTTGTTCCTTTCTATTGCTGAGTCATTTTCCACGATATGGATGCATCACAGTTTGTTTAGCCATTCACTCATTGAAGGATATCTGAGTTGTTTCTAGATTTTTTTTGTTGTCGTTAGGTGCTGTCAAGTCGTGTCCGGCTCTTAGTGACCCTATGCACAGCAGAACGAAACACCACCCGGTCCCATGCCAGCTCCATGATCCTTGCTATACTTGATCCCATCATCACAGCCACTGTGTCAGTCCATCCCATTGAAGGCCTTCCCCTCTTTCGTCAGCCTTCCACCTTACCAAGCATGACATCCTTCTCTAGGAAATGGTCCCTTCTGACAACATGACCAAAGTAATGAGACGAAGTCTGGCCATTCTCTCTTCCAAGGAACATTCTGGCTGTACTTCCTCCAGGACAGATCTGTTAGTTCTTTTAGCAGTTCACGGTACTTTCAACATTCTTTCCCACCAAAGCTCAAAAACATCAATTCTTC